CGATGCACTTTCTGTCCGGCCATTATGGCTCAAGGAATCCTTCAACCCATTCGCGACCGCGCAAGATTGCGCCATAGCAGCAGCGTCAGGAGATTTTTCTTCGATAAAATCCGAGTGGAGGGAGGTTTCCTCTGCCCAGGGCTGGCGTAGATGAGCGAGGGTATGAAGATTCTTTCCGTGGAAGAAAACTTTCCAAATTCCATTTCAAGCCCTGCAGCCACAGTAATACCATTGTCCCGAGTGAGAGCTTTGTCAGCCACCGGTGGCTGACATTGTCACGAATGGGTTAAAGTTACAAACTGCTAACAACTCTATTTCTACGTTTCTTCTTCTGGTTTTTTATAGACGTGTTCTAGTGTTTTATAACATGAACGTCTAGAAAAATAGATATTTACCTAGTGAGCAGCTAGGACTAAGCCTAGGAAGGAGGAAGAAATCCCGCTGCCCCTGAAGAAAGTAGCATTGCTCTTTAAATCAGGGGTAAATATTACTCGCTTCTAAGGCTTAGTCGTGAACCTTTACACCGGAGAACATGCTATCTGTGGCTTCAAACACGGTGAAAGCTCTAAACCGCGTGCCCCCAACCTGACTGGAATATGCCTAAGAACTAAGGAAATTAAGCAGAAAAAAGAAAACAGGAAACATCAAGATCTAGATTCCAAAATTATGGCGGTTCAATTTCTGTGAAATGGTGAAATGACAAAGGTAGTTTTTCACGCGTAAAATGGTCCCTTTCAGTCGATATGTACATTATCAAAATGAGTATTGATCGTACTGTTCCAACAGGTCGCTCGCTTATCTAGACAAAACCCAATACAGGATCATATTGGTGTAACACAGGGTGAATAACGGAATAGAGGGTGAGGAGGAAGCTCGAGGGTGAGCAGGAAGGTTGTGGCTCGCGACGGGAATAGGCAAGGACCGAGGGCATTAACCGTCGAATGGCCCAGATGAAAAACGTATGTTGCGTGGTGGAACGTATAATAAATTAGGATGGAGACTGGTGGGAGGGTGAACGCAGGTGTTCATGAAAATCGATTGGAGTACTGTTTGCAAAAGTTCGTTTCGTATGAATTGTACATCAAAACACAATGAATTCGTATGAGAGAATAGACAATAGTGTGCACGTCCAACGACAATATCATCCACTTTAATTGCTTCAGCACACATACACACACTCAACTGAAAAGAACCGCGGATCCTGCTCGAGAAACAGTGCAGCACTGAAAAACGGAGCAGACGTTCGAAGAGGTTTTGCAGGATTTCGTCCAGATGTGCAGACAGTATACATGAGGGAAGAATGCGACAGGCGGAACGCTGAAAGCGCTGGATGGGGAAATGGATGGACGAGTGCGAGTCATAGGGAAAACATTGAGCCATCTGATGGAAGAGAATGTGAGTAAGCCTACTTTATGACGTTCTTGGCTTTGATTTAAGCGCAGAGTTTTCATGTGAATGATGGCTGGCACTTCAGCACTTTGTTATGGAAATTAGGCGCTATCGCAAGATACGGGGGCATCCTTGTCGAACTAAACCCAGGAGGTGAAGGAACTTTGGAGAAGATGAAGATTGCTCCCGCACCCTAGAGTCTCTGATACCCTTTCCACCTGAGGCGTAGTCCCGTTGCTCACAAAAATAGATCTTTTACGCGGTTTCAAATGCACTGCCACCATAATGCACCCGAACTTAGCGCTAGCGCCAAAATTTCTTCACATTCATATCTAGAGAGCACAATTCCACCCAGGCCTGGGAACTGGTTCCCTACTGTAATTTTTACTTTAAAAGCACTCCTGGTCACCTAATTCGTACAGTTCTCTTCTTAGCTAATTAAAGATAGGAATTAGTGAAAAGAATGACCGCTAGAAGTCCTGACAAGGACTGTCTGAGCACTGGAAATCTATGTTCACATGAAAACACTGAAGCAGGTCCGAATACTGTATGAGAGAGCTCATATCGAAACAAACTGGTAATGCGCGAGTCATGTTCAACAAATGGGGTGATGAAAGGACGAAACTACCAAACTGAATCCTTTCTAGGTACTTCGTAAGTTAGTGCACCTTTTCGATACACCATCGTACAAACCAGGAGAACGCAGTGAAAGCTTGACCTTCCCTAAAGAAGCACTCCATTAGTGGTGGCATCACTGAATCGTAACTGAACCTAGAGGTACCGTCCCTTCTCATAAAGATCTCTGATCACGGTTTCAAATGTCATAAAAAGCTCAGAACAGCCTCTTCAACTGACTTCAAACCTGTACAGAAACGTTCCGGGTTTCAAGACTGGTTTAGCTTTTGATTGCTGCGGTTCTTAGAATAATGGAGAGTCTACAAATCATTAGAGAAATTGGGTAAGGGCATGCTACGGCAGACAAGTTCTTATACAGTCAGAGTCCCAGAGCGAATCGGCACATTATGAAGGTAATCTGCCCCTCTGAAACTTTCCTGGGGAGAACTAGTGGACATTTTCCGGGCAAAAGGACTAGCCGTTCCAAAGATAAGAACAGTGGCCACGAAAACGTCTTGCAACAATGGCACGTAGAAAGCGAGAACGAGCAGTTGTCCGTCGCCAAGTAGCGGTGGCGGCGGCGCCAATGTAATCGGATCATCACTCATGAAAACAGCTTAAAACGCATGTAGTGCATGCAAATGATAGTGTAATAAAGTGCTGGTGGTGAATGTGTTCCAGTAGCACCAAAGAAATTTGAAAGCCTGACATGGGAGCTGGACGAGACCCTCGTCTTCCAAACAGCAGCAGTAGTTGCACGACAACACTTTGAGTGAAAAGAGCGCTGGCCCGTGGAGGAGGCGGAGCCGACCACACGCACGCACAGCCACACCACCACAAACAGGCAGCCGGACAGCAGCCGTCGGGCTGCATGATACACGGACGTCGAAACGGCTCCATCAGAATTCGTCCCTCGTTTTTTTACTGGTTCGTTCTCGTCCAGAAATGGCCTCGGCGAAATATGGGGAATCGATCACCAAGGAGCCCTCGCAAAAAACGAACTGTGTCAGATCCCCGCAAATGGACGCGGATCTGTACGACGACTACGCATGCTAATGAAGGAGTGCTTGCATTGCACATTCCCTTCAGATACCCAAAAGCAACACGCCCTGTCGTGTAGGACTGCGAGATGAAGCTCAAATTGAAACCATATCTGTCGGTGGCAGCGCTTCGATGATTTATGCAGCCTTTAACCTGCAGGATGCTCTAAGGTCATGCTCCCTTCGAACAATCACTAACACGAATCGTACTCGCCATAACTGGGCTGGAGCCGTAATCAGTGGAATCATCAGTGTATTTTCAGGACCGAGGAGAGGGGAATGGAGGAAGTAGGGGTGGGTGGGAGGATCGGGTTCGCTTAAGGATGTTGGAAGACACTTAAAAATCTCTCGGAAAATCACGGATATTTTGCAGCGGACACCAGGGTTAGCCGTCAGTTTGGCCGATCCAGACGGGAGTCACATTTGCGGATCCTGAAAAGGGGTCATACTTAGGGTTAACGAATACTTGGGGTTGAGGTGGAAAAGGTCGGAGTCGTATTTCTGGAAGTTGAAGGGGTCGTGATCGCGAGAAAAAGTGTTGATTCTGACGGGGCCTGTTAAATTTTGAAAAAAAAAACAAACCTCAAAAAATAAACATGAACCAAGATCAGCACATTTGCTGTTTATAGAGATGAACTGACCCTCCTCTCTTCCCCCCCCCCCCTTCCTTCGACGGCGGCCAGTAGTAGAGAAAAAGTGGGCGGGGTTGGATTGACTTGTCTGAGAATCAAACACTATATAATTAGCCATGATGGTGAGGGATGCTAGGGGGGGGTGTAAAAAATTTAAAATCGGCCAAACGCTACCATTGACCCTGGCTTCAACCCGTGTCAAATGTTGCATATTCCCGTACTTCTACTGAATTTTAAGCGGTTGTGCAGAGAGGAGACAACGTTTGGAAGAAAAAGAAAGAGGGGATCGAATTGAAGTTGAGGTTTTGCCGCATGCTTAGCGCTGTTGGCTCCGCGGAGTCGCCTACGCGATGGTGTAGCCGGCCAGTCAGCCAGTCTGTAAGTGCAGGAGGATTGACAGGCTGTCGGTCGGCTGAGTCAATCGTCTTTAACCAACAGACAGAAACGTGTCACATACGATGGAAA